CACTATTATTTACATTTCATAATTAATAGAATAGTAGAAAATAAATCATTTCTTACCTTATTATAATTTACTTCTGTTACATTCACAAACAAACAGTATTTACTCAAACGAACGTACCATTATGATTTCAATCCATATCTGTCTCTTTGATGGTCTGGTAGACTGGACATTCTGTTTACTACAACTCAGCAGGGTGCTGACTCACCACACCAAACTGTAATATTGAATTTTTTTTTTTTAATTTACAAGGGAAAAAACAACAAAGAAATCAGCAATTTCTTGATTTTATACAAGCATTTCTGCGCATTTACAATTTTCATTTCATTTAAATATCTAGCTCTATCAAAATACATGATTTAATAAAATAGAATTCATATAATTTAAGGTATTTTAGATCAAACACTAACTTTTGAATAAATATTTTCATGCAATTCTAATGATCGACATCATCATAAAGTTTTGGCTTGAGATATGTGTAGAGAAACCTGAAGCTACAGTAAATAGTAATAAATCTATTAATTTATTTTAAACTGAAAGGAAAGCAAGCATTCTTACTTGAAGTAATTTTCTTTAATTATGGTAGATCATTCGAAACAACAAAAATGAAACAAACTAAACTAAAGAAAAAGGAATGCATTCATAAAGAACGTAAAGAAAACTTTATATATTTCAATAATTACAAGTGCATGGAAATTTAGTATAAAAAAATAAACATGGATATGGAACAAAAATACCTGCTTTTTATCACATAAAATTTCATTTTTTAACAGCGCAATATCTTTGAGTTAAAGATTATCTATTAAAGCAAATTTGTAAAACTAAATTCAAAAATGAAAGATTAAATTATTTTTAGGAAAAATAATAAATAAATAAAAAAAATTAATTTTACAAATAAATGAAAGTTACATGCCTTATTTTTTGGCATAAGGTAGATATTTCAAGGGCAGTTAGTGTATGCATTTTTCAGAATAGATTTTTGAACAATTAATTATGATAAAATTGCCTTTCTTTTTACATTAGGCTACTTCTTGCTTAATTACAGTACGTTTTAAGATAAATATTAAAATGTTTGAGTAAAAGACAATATAAGAAAGTGAGAAACACACAAGGGCAAAACAGGAAGTTTTTCAATCTATTGAGTTGCTGTTTTCATTAACTGTACCAAATGCTAAAAATGAATGATTCTGCACTTTCACAAAAGAACAACACATGCTTTAGGAAAATCACGTTTCCTAGACGGACTTTATTCATAAAATTTTACGTAGGTGAAAAAAAATATGAATATTAAATATTGAAAATATAAAATTTTCACTTAATTTCTTCAAATAATACTGTAATATCAGATCCGATATAGACCATTGCCATTGCATACAAACACCGCCATTGCCAAGTGCTGTTTTGACAAATATCCCGCCATGCTGCTGGAAGCAAAGCCTTCAAACATCTTTGAAACACAAAGCAGAAGAATCCTGCTTTGTGATTGGTAGTGAACAAGAATTACAACGCGTGTTTTCCCTTTATAATTAAACATATTAAGAAAGCCTCTAAATTAGCATATGAAATAAATTTTTTTTTGCATTGTATAAATTTATATTCACAGCACGTCTGCAGTAAAGTAATAATTTATTTTTATACAAAAAATAGAAATTAACCACATAAATTTTGAGTTCGTTTTACTGGAAAGTTGTTCATATTCTGAAGAACTCCATATTAAGAATGTCGTCAACTGTTTCAGGAAAAATATAAATATAATTATTTATTTACATTATTTATTGTTTTCGTCATTTAAAAAAAATTATTTAAAATTACTGTATATTAAATTTGCTTTTCTTGTATATTAAATAACATTAAAAAATTTAGCCTCATGTGATTTTTATAATAATGATTAAAGGAGTTGAAATTTACGTAAAATATCAGGATTCAGCTTGCAATTTCGTAGTTATTATTATTAAATAAAAATATTAGTATATAGCATTAAAACTCATTAAAAAAACCCTCTATTTTTGCACATATTTCATATTTTTTTTGTTTGAAAGGAAGAAAAAACTATAAAATGAGAAATAAAAACACAGATACTCTGACTTGTAGTTTTTTTAAAAGGTTTTTTTTAGTATTCGTATAATATTCGTAAAAGTAATGAATGAAAAATATTATGTTGTCGGCAATTTTTAGTAGTACATTTCATTTCGTATAATTTTCATAAAAATAACATATGTAAAATATGATAAAGTGTCGTTAGTATCTTCAGTTTTTTTTATTCTTAAAACTTTCGTAAAGATAACATGCAAAAACTACCACACCCTTATTTCACCAAAATTATACATATATTTTTGGAGGTATGCTGCCTGGGGAGTTACCTTGTTTAGAAGGACATGGCGAATTATGCCAGCTGCAAATCAACTCGTAAGCAAAAACAACTTTTGAGAATGGACTTTGGAAAGCACTTTGGACTTTCATCCATATCCAATCACTTCTGGGATCTGCATTTATTGTTGCACCAAACTCACTTTTTATTACTGGTGACAGTTTGTTGCAAAAAACTCTGTTCTTGTTCTCTCTCAGGTGAGGAAGGTACCCTCCTCTATCTGATGTGCCTTTTTATATGGTAATATAATCATGTCCCACTGGTTTCAAGAATTCCTTCTTTTTTGCTCTTTTGTTTTCACCATGTACTCAATAATTAGTATTTGCTTAAAAAAAATATTAGAATTGCACAAACTCAAGATTGATGCAATTCAGCATTGTGCACAAGTCAAAATAGATAACGTAGTATATGCAATACCTAAGTTGCCACATAAATACTTTTTTGTGACATTGTGGGTTGCTACATAACTATTTTGGGGCATACTGCTTTGCCTTGTAAATGCTTTTTTAGGACTTTTCAGTGGTATTATGGATAATCAAAAAGTACCATTTAAATATATAATAGTTTTTTAAAATTTTAGTTCATTTTAAAATCTTAAATGTAATGATTATTTTCTTATTTGGATTACACGTTTGACACAAAAAGGAAAAAAAAAAAAAAAAAAAAAAAAAAATCAATCAGTATCACATTACTAAATGAATAAGAATTTTACCTTACTTTTCAGTTAGTATTTTTGGGAAATTATGTATTTTTCGGAACTACTCTTATATGCGCCCTCAGGTCGCCAGATTTCTCGCCATTTTTGGCGAGAAACTCCACGGTGGCATATTACTATCTAAATTTTTTGTCTACACTTCAAATTTTAAGCCTAAAATGTCTCCACAAACGCGTTTTTCGCGCATGCAAAAACCATGTTTTGAACACACGATTTAAGCTAAAAATCCAAAACAAAAGAAAAGAGAGAAAAATTAGATAGCAAAAATGTAAAGTTCCTAACCAAAAATATTTGACAAGAATCCATGTACACAACGATATGTTTTAACTTAAAAAAAACATCTATAAATTGCACAATATAGGCAGTGAAAGAATCTGCGAACTACGCACACCTTGCTTTAATAAATTATCATAACAACAATAAATTTCAAAGAATACCATGCACACAGCTTTCTGTTTAAACTTTAAAGAAACATCTACGAATTGCACAATCTAGGCGTTACGCACAAATCAACAAAATAAACTAAAATAAATTACAAACAATTCAAATAACAACAGAAATCCATAGTAAAAAAACAATGAACATAACATTCTACAAAATAAAAACAATAAAATAAAATACACTTACCATAATACATACGGGAATAAAATTTCGCCAGTCACATCACGTCTGCCAACAAAAGTGCCACAATTTTGCTATATCACATGTCTTTCTGCGATTCAAAATTTTGAAAATAATGATAAAAACTTCCTCCAAAGTTAACTTACGAAAACCACAATTCGAATCTTAAATTTTGCTGACAGCCACATACTTTAGCGGCAACCATTTGACTGCAAACCCACACAAGTCTACCAGGAACACTATTCTTCGTCCGACTTCCCATATCAGCTCCGCATTTCGGACACGCCAAACTCCGTTTTAAAAGTCCTGACTCCCACAGAAATTCCAAAAATGCGCTTCTATCCACATCAACACACCTGTGAACAAAAGACTCGTTAACAACTAAAACATCGTACTTTTAATACTAAATTTACTTTTCACACAATCTAAAATACGCGACTGAAATCTTGCCACCAAGTCTCTAAGTTTCAACGTCAAAAGGTTTACCATACAAACAGCATCGTCCCCAAACTATCCCACAGCACGGAATTGTGCCAAAAACCAGCCCAGAACACATATCGCCACATTTGGTGATCTTAGGGCACATATAAGAGTAGTGCCCATTTTTATTGCAAAAATAATAAAATATTTATTTTCAAATAAACCAAATTGTTATTAGTAAATTCATTCCTTCAACAGTCAGATGGTAGTATTATTGTTAATTTTTAGTTTCTTCCATTTCTATGAATTTCTATTTTCTTCCATTTTTTTTTTTTTACCCCTTCTTAATTTTGTTCACAGTCTTGAAAGAATCCATCCTTGTTTGTAATGCGAGCAGGCATCTTAATCTGGCTCTCACGTCTACAAAAATTTGACACTCTGATTTAAAACATAACATCATGCTACTACTTGAATTACTTCACGGTAGTAGGAGTTTAAGAGACATGGCTTTGAGTTTGAGTGCTTTTCTACTGTTAACCAAATTGCTTGTATGCTGATATATTTAACTCTTGCAGAAAACTACTTTCTGCATTTCAAGGCCGTTGATGATCCAGAAAATGTTATACATTTTCTAATGCTAGGAAACATATTTTCAATATTTTTTTGTGGTCCATATTTTGTGATTGCTGTTAGTATTGTAGTTGTCAGTTTATTTTCCCCTTTATACACGCATAGAATTTTCAGTGTTTGATTCTTTATGGTAATTTAAAAAAAGTTCGCTTTAAAAGACGTTGGAAAAGTTCGTTGTGTAAATTGATGCTATTTAAATTTTAAAATTATGTGCATATGATGCTAATTTTTACATTATTATATTTTCAGAAGAGGAAGGTGTGAAAGTTTTTTTTATAGACCATGGATCTACTCAGAATGTGCTCCTGCAAGATCTCCGTTTGCTGCCTTGGCCTGCCTACGATATTCCAAAACAAGCTATTCACTGCTACCTCTATGGGGTAAAACTTTGGTTTTGAATTTTAACTATATGTTTATCTTATTTATTTATTTATTTTTTTTGAGTAATTGATTACTGCATATTTTTGTTTATTTATTATTTGTCTGTGGAAATAATAAATTGTCTAAAATTATAGTACAGTCAAAAGTCGTTAATCCGGATTCGTCGGGACTTCGGCGATTCCGGATTATCGATTTTTCCGGATTATAGATCATCAGTTTAAATCTCGTAAGATGGCATGCAGAAATTCTAAAATTAAAAATATGAAACCGTAATTTATGAAATAAAGAACAATTATGATCTAAAGGGTATCAAAATTTGCAAAAAGAAAAAGCTTAATATTTATTTGTTTACTTTATTAAACATTTCTTTCAATGTAAGTTGCTTCGTTTCATGTGATAATACTTTCTCTTTAATTCTATTAAACAGACATAATTTCTTGTTCAGTTACAAAGTTCCGCCGTTCAAGTCCTATAATTGCTGTGTCAAGAACACCGACTAATTTGTCAATCGAAATTTTTTTGTTTTCAATAACCTCTGTCACTTTTCTTCGCTATCGAAAGCGAATTATAATGACGAGGAACTTGTTTTAAATCATATCAAAGACGGAGCATATCGAGATGAAATACTACATTTAGTAAGGAATTATAAGCCAAATAAGATAAAAACATCTGCGCTGAAGATAAGGATAGTGCTGACAAATCAACTTCCAATTCATTAGGCGCCCGCCGCCGAGCAGCGTGAAATTGATAAACAGATTTCGGATTTCAAAACATACTTTCACTTTAGATCCTTTACATATTAACAAATATATATCAGAAATTCTATTTGATATAATCGAAAGTTTAAGCTTACTTTTATAAAATTGCTCTTACAGTCTGCAAAAAATAATAAGCCGGATGCAATTCGAAAATTAAGGAACAACGCAATCATCAACATTAAATGAAATAGATAATTAGATAATTTTAGCTTATACTTCCATTATACATAAAATGCGCACGCGAAAACGTATTCTGCACTTGCGCACACTCATATGTGCAGTCGTAAAAGGTCTTACGCGCACGCGTGAACGCCTCTGCGCATGTGTCAACATGGCACATGCGCAGAAAGTTTTTAGTTTTGATGTCCGGATTATAGATCATTCCGAATTATGGGTGTCCGAATTAACGACTTTTGACTGTATAATGATATGGATTAAGAAGAAAATTGATAAGGAGGAGGAATATAATATTTTAAGGATTTAAACTAGGGAAATAAATGTCAGTGTAAGCATTAGCTACCAAAATGTACCTAATCCATTTTATGGATTATCAACAATATGAGATGCAGATGTTTTTGATGATGTTAAATGAAATCTGCAGCTGTATGCTTCCTGTGTAATCTGAAATTAATCTGATAAAATATATTTTGTGATTTTATATTTGCTTTGTTTTGCATATATACTCTAGATTTAATAAAATAGTCACTCTTTTCATGAAGCTCTGTGAATGATTCAGATAATCATCTAGGTAGATTTCCCACCAATATTTATGTTTGGTGCTAAGAAGCACATCGTTAGCAGAGAGAAACTTTTTGTTTCAAGCTTGATGAAATATCCTTTAGATTATTTTTTTTTTTATTATTATTATCATAGTATTTTGACATGACAAAATATCAGATGCAACATCTAATTCTTGCTATTCTCATTTCATATTCCACTGGAAGAATGAAAATAATAAAAAATTTATAGGGAGACGGATTGGAGCTGTAGCTGTTGTGGCAGTGGACAGAGGACCTCAATTTTGTCTTCACACTCTGTGTCACATGTAGAGTAGGGGCATGCAGAATATGAATCTAGTGAACTGAGGTTCACTAGATTCATATTCTACATGCTCTTACTGCTTGGAACGAACTATGGTTGCTTGTAATATGTTGCTAAGACATTCCATTATATTTATCCATCCACTGTACCTGCGTAATAAGCCAGAGCCAATTGGAATACTTACAGGACATATTTTATATAAGAAAAATAGTTTCTTATGAGTGTTTTAAGTAGAATTGAAGTTAATTGGAGTTAGAATGTAAAATGAAATTCTTACATCTAATACTTTAAAAAGAAATGCTTCATAACTATTCATGTAGTGCTCATAATTATGTAGTTTGTAAATGTTAAAATTTTTTTTAACTTGTATGGTTCCTTTTTTATGTAATAATTTTAATCTTTTTTTTTTTAAATAAAATGGAAATATTAATTTTAAATATTTATTGCATGATTTTCAGGTTTAGCTTGAAACATTTTGCATAATAGGTCACAAATGAGTGCATCTAATGCTAGAATCAGTACTTTTTCAAAATGCAAAATTTTGAATTAGGACTCAAAATTGTAGTCTTTGTGCAATGCTATCAAATGCACTGCATAAATGTTGGTGTTTGTTTATAAAAGATTGATTTAGTTTTTAGCATTTAGTAGCACTAATGTTATTTACTTATTAAAGATGGAGTTTTATGGATCTGGCATTGGTTGAGAATGTTTTGGCTCTAAGATGTCTAACTATGTGTTTCTGTATAATGTTTATTTTAGAAATATTTAACATTTAGAAGTATAAAACTTTGGAAAGCATCCAGCAGTATATACAGTCAAAAGTCATTAATTCGGACACCCATAATCCGGATCTCAAAGCTACAAACTTTCTGCGCATGTGTCGCATTGACGACCTTTACGGACCTTTATGGCTGCGAATATGCGCATGCGCATAATATGTTTACGCATGCGCATTTAATGTATAACGGACGATATAAGCTAAGCTAAAATTATCTAATTCAGTTAATGTTGCAGATTGCGTTGTTACTTAATCTTCAAATTGGATCCGGCTTATTATTTTTTGCAGACTGTTAGAGCATTTTTATAAAAGTAAGCTTGAACATTCGATTATGTCAAATAGAATTTCCGATATATATTTACTAATATGTAAAGGATCTACAAAGCGAAATTATGTTTCGAAGTCCATTAAACAAAAAGTGGAATTGCTGCAAAAAATGGATAAAGGTATATCCTTTAACCATTCCGAAATCTATTTATCAATTTCACGCTGCTCTGCATGGAAGGGGAAACATCGCGGCGTGCAATGAACTGGAAGTTGATCTGTCAGCACTATTCTTATCTTCAGGGCAGATGTTTTTATTTTATTCGGCTTATAATTCCTTACTAAATATAGTATTTCATCTTGATGTACTCCGCCTTTGATATGATTTAAATCAAATTCCTCGTCATTATAATTTGCTTCCGATAGTGAAGAGGTTATTGAAAACGAAAAAATTTCGATTGACAAGTTAGTCGGTATTTTCTGCACAGCAATTACAGACTTGAACAGCGGAATTTTGTTACTGAACAAGATATTATGCCTGTTTATAGAATTAAAGAGAAAGTATTAGCACATAAAACGAAGCAACTTAAACAACTTGCATAAAAAGAAATGTTTAATAAAGTAAACAAATAAATATTAAGCTGCTGATTTTTTTTTTTGTAAATTTTGATACCATTTAGATCATAATTGCTCTTTATTTGATAAACTACGGTTTCATATTTTTTAATTTTATAATTTCTGCATGCCATCTTACCAGATTTAAACTGATGATCTATAATCGGGAAAAATCGATAATTCGGAATCGGCGAAGTCCCGACGAGTCCAGATTAACGACTTTTGACTGTATATTTAAATTACTCTGATTTTTATACTATGTGAAGCTCTGTATTAAATATTTTAAAATGTGTTACTTTAAACTCTTTTACTTACAAAATGTATGCTGCATCAATAAGAGCTTCATTTTCAAAAGTTTTTCTTCTTCATAAATTGAAACAAAAATACTTTTTTGATTAAATATAGAACAGTTATTAAGTGTAGAATGCAACGAAGTTTTATATATGAGTATTTATTTAGCTTATTATTATTTACAGGTATTACACTGCTTTAAGGAAATTTAGGCAGCTCATATTTTTAATGACTTGAAAGCTCTGAATGTTTATAATGTGAAAATTTTAGGTGAATTGCACATCTTTCAAATTAAATTTTAATATAGAACTATACTGCTGGATTTGCAAGGTGTATTTTTTTATGTATATTATGTTAGTTTTATATATATGTACACTTTTAAAGCATCACACACATACATATATGTATATGTACATTCTAAGTGCGGGAGGGCTCAGAAAGGAGTTATCCGAACGGGACGAAAACTAGTAGATGTGGTGTATATATACAGAAAAACAAATGATTGCAGTTTCAGCATAGTTGATTTATTCAAGAGACAAAAGCTTCACAAATTGAGCAAGTCAATAATGCTTTGGTCCACCTCTGACCCTTATATAAGCAGTTATTTGGCTTGGCATTGACTAATAGAGTTGGCGGATGTCCTCCTGTGGGATATTGTGCCAAATTCTTTCCAGTTGGTGTGTTAGATCAGCTAAATTCTGAGCTGGTTGGAGGGGTTTGCATAATGCTCCAAACATTCTCAACGTGCGAGAAATCAGGTGACCTTGCTGGCCAAAGTAGTGTTGGGCAAGCATGAAGACAAGCAGTAGAAACTATCGGCGTCAGCAGGTGGGCATTATCTTGCTGAAATGTAAGCCCAGGATGATGTGATATGAAGGGCAACATAATGGGGTGTAGAATATTATCTACATACCGCTGTGCTGTAAGGGTGGCATGGATGACAACCAAAGGGATTCTGCTGTTAAATGAAATGGCACCCCAGGCCATTACTCCTGGTTGTCAAGTTGTATGGCACACAATAGTCAGGTTGGTATCCACCATTGTCCAGGACATCTCCAGACACATCTTCACTAGTCATTGGGGCTCATTTTGAAGTGGGGTTCATCACTGAAGACAGTTCTTCTTCAGTCAGTGACGTTTCATGTTGCTCTGCACTTCATCCTTGCTAACTGGTTCCAACTCCACTAGTCCTTGGGTTCTTTCGGCTCTTCACTTTTTCCCTGTTAACCGCTTTTGTTTCATCCGTTGTTCTGGATCTTTTTAATCAAGGTTATTGTTAGTGAGTGGTGAATCATAAAAGAGAACCGATTCATTTCAGTGAGCAAACTGTTCTGATCCTACCCCATGTAAGACCAATCTTGATCTCTATTACATATTCAAATTTTTAGTATAATAATGATCAGCAATTTATGTGTGATTATATTTTTAGCTGCACTAACTAAAACCTTACTTTATAAATTATACATTTTAAATTGTATAATTTATAAAGTAAATAAATTGTGCAAGAAAAATTGATCACATTTTTCAATTAAGATTGGAAGGGAAAATAAATTTTGAACTTTCTCTTAATGAAGAACATTGTTTATGCATAATTTATATGATGAAATAGCAGCAGAAATAAATAATTCACAGGAAAATCACTTACCTTGGTAAGTAGTGAACTGTGTAGTTGAAAGAAACATGAACTTTTCATGCATTTCATTAATTCATTTTCATTATGCTGGATTAATTTCCAAAGAATGAATTTCTTTCCACTTGTTTAATAAATACCAAAAACCAATTTGATGAGTAATTTCTTATACATTGCCTAGAATTTATCACATAAGCAATAACTTGAAGAGCTAGCCGAATAAATTTTCAATTTGAGTTTTGAAATACAGGAAACTGTGGTGTCGACTAATTAAACTTGATGATTTATTTCATTGTAGATAACTTGATGTTAGAGGACTGCATGAAATTGTTGCGTAGATGGAAAGATAAAGTTGCAGACAAACACGTGATGTTAAACACATAATTGATTCCTGAAAAATCTTGATACATCTTTTCATGTCATCTTTAATTTCTTAGGACATATACTTGAGTGTTGCAACATTGGGTGTGCTATAAATGTCCCACAATTTCTATTACATTTTAAATAAATTTTAAATAATATACGATACAGCCAAGTTAAGAGACATGGGTTATTGAAGCTGAGAAAATAGCAAAAAAGGGTGTATGGTTGGATGCAGTGGTATTTATAGCTCAGAAATTCTTTGTTTGAATTTTCAGTGATGATTGGTCAAAAACTTTCACATTGTGGCTTATTGCATGGAAATAATTACATCAGTGATGCAGTTATATATGCTTTGGATGGGGTTGTATTTTAATTAAAATTAGAAATTTAAAGGGCTGTTGCCAATTAAGTTAGTAATTTGTTAATAATTTTCCTTCAAATATTTATATCTTGTATATTATTATTTTGATATTAGTTTGAATTCTTTTTCATATTTTTATATTGCCGAAGTATAAGTATTTTTAAAATATAAGTGTCTTTTAATATGCTGCAGATTTTACCGATTAAATTATTTTGGCCATCTGAATCCATTCAGAAGATGAAGGAGTTTCAGAACTTTTTCATTGAAACTATTGTCAAATTGCGGAATGGTGATAAATATGGTGTTCAGTTGACTGCCAAAGTTGAAGCAGGGATAGATGAGGAATATTCAGCTGATATAGCCCAATTACTGTGCTTGGATGGGCTTGCTATCCAAAATGAAGTAAATATTATGTATTTTAATAATAATACCATTTGTCTTTTAATAATTCCAGTTGGGGATATTTACAGGAAAATGTTTAAATTTTTATTTCCTTGTTTTATATAGAACTTTTAAGTGCAGTTAAATTTAATGTAACTTACCTCGGTGGGGGGGACTAATACACAGGGTTTTTCCAGACTAGTTGTATCCAAAAACAATGACTTACTGTGCAAAAAGATTCATCATGTTTCCTTAAACTGAAGCAAAGTTAGACAGGAAACCTTTTCAATATCTGTTTTCTGTATATTTTCAAGATCTCTGGAACGTCATCTTGTTAGTGCTTTAATAGTATCATCTTGTTTGTATTTAGTCCTTTCCTTGGACATTAAATTGGTAACACAATCTATTGGGCTGGCTATCTAGATCTGTGGATGGATTTTGAGGCCACAGAAATATTTGTAGTGGAGGTTTTCCAATTTTTTTTGGCTTATTGCATAATACTAGAACATTTATTATCCATGCAGGCTAGCAAATTTTGCCATCCCAAGAGACATAAAATTTTAACTTTTACATGGACTGATGAACAAATAGTGTGTTATCAGAATGTTGCTATTTTATGTAGCATAAGATTTTTTATTTTAAGTTTTATGCATAGACATTGCTTATAACACAGAAATTTAAAACACTGGACATACCTTATTATTGAAATCCTTTATTTTTAACATTATAATTAATTACTGTGTTTGATAATGTAGCCAGTTGATAATTTTTATAAATATTATTATTGTAATTAATAATACATATTTCGAATGCCATATATTATTTAACTTCATACTGAACAATAATTTTGAATGATGATTTGATGTTAGAAACATCTTTAGCAGAATTGTTCGAAAATTTTGGACCATCATGTTTATACTGTTATCTTTTTATCATCCAAGCAATTGGGTGAATGTTGCCATTGCTTGAAAGAACTTAACTTCTATACAGCTGCTCAAATAGCCATTTTTAACAATGTTCCTTTTTCGCAAAACATAAAATCTTTATCCATCAAATTTAATTTGTAATTGCTTGACTAAGTGATTTAAAACAAATAAATGCACTTATTAATAATTTAAAGCTTTATTTAATTTTTAAATCATACATATTTTTGATATAATTTAAAATACATTTAATTTTGAATAATTGCATTCTTGTAATTTAAAATGTTTCTCTCAGCAAAAGATAATTTTTCCCCTTATATAAAAACCTGTGTATACAGGGTGTATCAGTACAGTGGTTCCAAACTTTCAGGAGAAATAGAGTATACCTAGACAATGGAAAATCTCATAGCAATACGTGGTCGGAAATGCTTTCCTAGTGCGGTAGTGAGGATACAAAAATCAAGAAAGAAAGTACACAAACGGGGTGAGAAAACATGCTTATTATTCAGAGTACAACAAAAACAAATTAAAAACAATATGAAAGACAACAATCATTATCAAAGAAGGTGTCAAAATTATGATCCGGACCGTGATGCAAGAAACATGCATCTTCCATTTGTGCAGGAGAAGTGAGGCCTGCATCATAGTCTGGGATCGTAATTTTGAACACCTTCTTTAATGACGATCTTTGTTTGTTTCTGTTCTTATTTGTTGGTTTCTGCTGTACTAAACATAATAAAACATGTTTTGTCTTGCTGTTTGTGTCTTTTTTTTTTCTGCATTTTGTCTCGTCGCTTCTGTGGCAGGAAAGCATTTCTGACCATGCATTGCTATGTGATGCCCATTATCTAAGTGTACTCTGCCTTTCCTGAAAGTTTGTCACCGCCGTACTGATACATCCTGTATAACAAAAATTTTCATGATGTGGAGAATTGTATGGTCATATGATTAGACTCTTGCAGAATCCATCTTTTAAAAATTCTTTCTTCAAATAGCATTGTACAATTGTTAAGGCTAGCCATTGTTTCTCCTGAGCACTGTTTGGATACAAATGAGAAATTTAAAGGACAGAAAATGATTTTATACTATATAGTTGAACAGTTTTTGAGGTATTAAAGAGAAAAAATAAATAAATAAATAAATAAAAAATGTCTGGTTTTATTTATCTGTAATTAACTCACTCAGAAGTGGGAGAGGGGGATTTTTTTTTCTGTTAGCTATTTATTAATGAGTTATGTGTTTGTATCTACCATTATTGATCAAAAGTTGACAGTCCTTTGAAAAACATAATGCAAGAAATAGTTTTAAATGTCAATTTGTACCTTCATAAACTAGAATAATTATATGAGATCTATGCTATATTCAGGGTTGCCATGCTACCTGGAAAACCTGGAAATGTCAGGGAATTCAAAAATTGACAAAAAAAGTCTGAATTTTAGTCTGAATTAAAAAAAAAAAAATCTGAAAAGTCTGAATTTAGAATTTAAAATCTGGAAAAGTCAGAGAATTTCATACTGCAATATCCCACAAAAGTGACTTTTACGACAGTGTTGGAAACAATCACTTAGCGAATTTTGCATTGTGTGAGCATCATTCGGGCAGCTGGCATAGAACCAGTTTTTGCAGCTGCGATCAGATTGTCTTTTAGAAAGGCATGCAAGTTTCTAGCAACTTTGGTTTCCATTAACCTCGAGAATCGAGAGATTCACATGCACATGTTGAACAAAAGAAAACACCTTCCCATTCTCATGTAAAACAAAATCGGTTTAATCCTACTATACGATACACATGGATTTGGTGACATTATGATGAGCAGTAAATTGGACATTTATGATTGATGAGCAGTGAATCAGTCATTTTGATCTTGGCAACAGTTTTCAAAATCATGCCAATGCTATACTAGAATTTTACCACAAACTCTTTTAAACCCTTTTTTTTTTTTTTTTTAAATAAATGCCATTTTGCAGTAAAATAAAAAGATAGTAATCAGTCATCTAGGCTAACCATTTAATATAACTATATTCGGTAAAATATCCTTGATTATTGTAATTCAATTTCTAATTTTTACGTAACTAACTTAATTTTAATCTTCTTAGTATCATTTAATGTGGCTTCTCCCTTCTAAATTATTTATTATTACTTAATAGTACCTTCAAATTTCAGGCAATTTTCTCTGGCATACACCTGAAACGAATTCTAGTAGTGTGATGACATACCATCACAAAATTTAATGCACATATTTTTTGCTTATGTATGCTGCTAAATAAATATAAAACACCTGAATTTATTTTAAACTATCATTAATTTTGTTTAGCTGCAAAATGTCTGCAAAAAAAGGGACATTTTTTAATCCAGATTGAGCAGGTTCTAATCTCAGTCTTCAGTGGAGAAACGGAACTATTATAACTCCTATTAAGTCATATATAATTGTCAAATTTTTGAGTTTTCAAGTGGTACTACAATTAATTTACCTCTCAGCACAGCCAATGTGCACTATGTGGATAGACTTTAATTTTCTTAAAACGCACTAAAAAAAGTCACAGAATTTCTTTCTCCTGTTTGAGTGGTATCCCTGTATATTATTAGAAATTTTTTTTAAATGATTGTGTGCCTTAATTTGATTAAAGTGGATGCAAACTTATTTTCTAATAGTAGAAGCTAATTTAGCTATGTTCATCCATAGCAATGGATATTCAGCTAATTTAGCTATGTTCATCCACAGCAATGTATATTCAGTAATCTTTACCAAGAATTATAAGGGATATAATTCATTGTACCATGCGAATGTTGTTTACTGCAATTACCTATCAAATTCTGCAAGTACACTATGAATTGTACTTTTATATAGTCTACAAAACCTCTTACCCAAGCATGTTATTGTTCAAATGAAGGATCTGTATTTCGTATTCAGATTATTTAAAATCATGGCAACACAGTTAGAAACAGTTCTATCTGATAGTTTTTAAACCAATCATAAATACTACTTCATAGGTTAAGAATTTGACTGTTTGCCAAATATAGGGTCTTGTTTCTTAATTATTGCAACATTATCTTTAGATTTCGTCTTTTTATTGTTTATACTTTAATCAGAATTCGTTTTTTAAATCTATAATAATATTTATATGTAGAATAGTTATGTTTTTAACACATATTAAAATATAATTCTAAAATTGGATATTTTAAAACATAATTTCTTGAGTTACTTTTGTTTCTTTATAGCAAATTCCAGAATCAAACCAAGTGGCCAAGTGTAATAAAGTTGAAGATGAGGCATCAAGGGAAGAACCTAATTGCCATTCAAATGATGCTACATTTTGTAGCACTGACAACCGAATTAGTTGCGATTCAGGTGTCAGTGTTACATCTTTCTACAGGCATAGTTCTATAAGTGCTGATGTTGACTTTAGCTGTGATTCTCTTAATAATTGTAGCAATAGCCGTCCTAATGTCCTGCTACCAACTTCAATCAAGGAAACTGAAGTGAATCAAAAGAACCAATTACATTCTTTAGTGCAAAGTGACCAAGGCCAGACGATTGATCTAATATCTTTTGAGAGCATTGAAGGGAGGCTTGATGGATCTCTGAGCAAAACTGAAAGTTCAAACTGCATCACAGTTGATAATAATGCACTCGACGATAATAATGCATTGGATATAACTATACCTTTTCCTTCAATTACTTTTGTTGAGAAGGGAATGATGTTAGTAATGTTATCAGACATTGTTACACCATCTGAATTTTATGTAAATATGGCCATGGAGAATATTATAAATTTAGATGACCTTCGTGAGCAGATGACAACTACGTATTCATTAGAAATTCATTCATCACTTGCCCTTGAGGACCTTCGAGAAAATATGTTTTGTGCTGCACATTTCGATAAAGATATGAATTGGTATCGAGTGAAAATTTTGAGTATATTGTCAGTGGTAAGTTATTCCATTTATGAAGTTACTAATATTGTAATTTATGCAAGTTAAATGATTTGCCTTTGGCATACATGTATGGATATATCAAGGTATCACTGTCTTTTTTCCATATGTTTATCAGTTATCAGCAAATCATAAAAATACATTTTCTTGATTTATCATTGAAATGGTTTTGCGATTTATTTGAAAATGATGTGATTTTTTACCATAATTAATTATTTGGTAACTATGAAAATCTCCATTGCTCACTTAGTTATGAATAGCATTCCACAGCAAGGGTAGTTGAAAAGGGTACTGAATACTTACATGCATTTTCTTTTATAAGTGGCATTCATTTTCAACAGCATTTCAGGAAATAGGGGAGTAATTTGTTATAAATTATATTACATAGAGTTTTTAACAGAATACTTGCCCACCTTGCAGCAAGTATCTTTCTTGCACTTGACTCGGTGCTTGTGAACATTTAAAACCATAAACTTTTGAAAAAGTTATTTTTCTTCTTTCATTATTTTATTTATTTATTTTAATTATGAACCCGTAGAGTCATTAGGTTAATTGGAAGCAGAAAAGATGAAAAATATGCAACCGTCTTCGCCGGGAATCGAACCACGGACCTCTGGAATACCGGCCCAGTGTGTTACCGTTACACCACGAAGGCACACTAGGGAAGTGGAAGAAATACCTTATATACTCCCCTTCTTAAAGGGCGACTATGGTTTTAGGGGACCTAGTCGCCAAATCCTGGGTGCGGAGAATCATCATCCACAACCCTTTTAGTTCGGGCGCCACTAGTCATATGTTAATTGGAAGCAGAAAAGATGAAAAATATGCAACCGTCTTCGCCGGGAATCGAACCACGGACCTCTGGAATACCGGCTCAGCGTGCTACCATTACACCACGAAGGCATACTAGGGAAGTGGGAGAAATACCTTATAAACCTAGTGTCAAACTTTTGCATTTATGCCACCATTTAATGATCAAATTGCTTGGAAGATATGTGAAATGAGAAAAACATATATGAAAAGCAATATTTTCTGTAATTATGCAGTCCTGTATTGCCATGTGTATTCATTACATAAGTTGTATATGTTAATTCTCATTTGTAGCTTCAAAAATACTGAATTATTTCCTGGAATGAGGTCAGCTCAGTTTCATGCATTGAAATAAATTTCTTATGTCAAATAAGACTGTGCTTCAGCAGAAATCATTCCTTTAAGCCGAGCTTATTTGTATAACTTACATTCCTCAAATATGACCTAAATTCATTCAAGTAACCAATAAAAGGGCAACTGCAGTATGTATCCTCGACATGTAAAATCTACATAAGTTATTACAAAAATATTTTGGAGCATATTTGTCATATTCTGCTTCTTGGGCGGGTTCTGGATGTAGGTTTCCTTCATGTGCACTAAATGTGGGCATTACATAAACCAGCCATCTTAATGGCACAAAAACTTTATTAACACACGAACAAAATAAGAACAAACGATTAACACAAAAATAAAAAGTAGAACCATGTTTGTCATCACGTTGGCATACAATGGGTTACCTTCGTTACTTCGCTACTAACTGCTGACTAACTACTCTTCTCTAGTAAGTCACATGAGAGAGAGTCATTGCAGGCCATTTGGCACAAAACAGAATTGCATTCATGAAATTTTTTAACTTGAATCTTTCACATAATCATAATCATATAAGCAGTTATCATATAAACAAGACAATACAAATCATTCATTTAAAATTAAACATAATACTTTAGCAAACCCTGGCTAAATCTTTAAACATGTTCATAACATCAGTCATTCTTCACTCACTGGAAAATATAATCACATCATTAAGTCACGTCATCAATAAACTCAGCATAGGCTTTTAGTCTACACATGTTACCGTTCCATTTTGTTGATACACAAACTACTGGATGCACATATTCACTTTCTGATTCAACGATTAGCTTTAGCTGTAATAGTTTATCTATTTGACGATCAACTTCATTTCTTAGAATTTCAGGTATTCGATACGGTTTCTGTTTTTTTGGCATACTTCCAAGGCTTTAGTTTGATATTATGTTCTCCAACATTGGCGATTTTCGGAATACTAGATTTTAGGTTCTTATGTCTTCTTAAAATTTTCACAAGTTCTTTCTTCTTATGCGGTTCAAGGTGCGTAAAATCACATTCTTCATTAGAATAGTGTTCTTTTGCTTTCCGTGGAACAATTCTTGGAACGTTTTCAACTTCGCCGAAATCAATATCTGTATCATATATCACACCGACATTATTCACAGCGGTATTGAACTCTCGTATCTTGTTTGCGTGAACGTGCTTCGAGGAATTGTCAGGCATTTGTACTATGTAACTATAATCAGTATGCTTTTTGATGATCGTAGCAGGTCCCGTCCATCTGGCATAAACTTTGTTTTGGCTATCAGGGATTAAAACTATAACCCTGTCACCTTCCTTGAATTCTTTTATGACGAGTCTTTCGGTTACGGTAGAATGCATAAGCTTGTTGCTTTCAAAGGAATATAAGGACCTGTAAGTCCTGCATATTCAGCAGCTTTTTCCAATTTCGTCTTCAAATCATTCAGATAATCGGTAACTGAACTTAACTGTCCATGAGGAACAGGAGTTTCATTCAGTCCATGACGTTTCAAAATAGACAAAGGGCCATTAGGACGTCTTCCATAAAGCATTTGGAAAGGACTAACACCAGTCGTAGCATTAGGAACTTCTCTCGATAAGCCCAAAGTAAGTACGGTAGATGTTTCTCCCCCAATCTTTGGAATGTTCTCTAATGGTATGATGTATCATTCCCTTTTAAAACAGCATTAAATCTTTCTACCAGGCCATTTGAACTTGGATGATAAGGAGTCGAGAACCTTGGGGACGATCCGATCCTTTTCAAAAACTCTTGAGTCAACGAAGCAGTAAAATTAGTTCCTTGATCTGAAAGCAACAATCTGAGGAATTTCCTGTGTGGGAAAAGATTTGCAATAATGCATCGCATGTTGCTTTGGCATTCAAATTCTTCAATGGTACCACTTCGGGCATCTTGTACATTGATCAACAGCACACAGAACATATTTATAGCCTGTACAGCTTGGCTCTACGGGTCTGAGGATATCCACATTAATTACCTTGAATGGTTCTTTAGGACTTGTTACAGGCGTAATCGGAACTTCATCAAAGGGACGCTTTTTTGCTTGAAGTTGACAAGAAGTACAAGTATTTCAATATTCATTTACATCTTTCTTGATTTCAGGCCAATGGAAGGAATATATTCTGCTTCTTGGGCAGGTTCTGGATATAGGTTTCCTTCATGTGCACTAAAGGTGGGCATTACATAAACCAGCCATCTTAACAGCACAAAAACTTTATTAACACACGAACAAAATAAGAACAAATGATTAACACAAAAATAAAAATAGAACCACGTTTATCATCACGCTGGCATACAGCGGGTTACCTTCGTTACTTCGCTACTACCTGCTAACTACTCTTTTCTAGTAAGTCACATGAGAGAGAGGCGTTGGAGGCCGTTCGGCTAAACTACTCATGCATGGTCATCGCGTCATGACAATATTGCTTAAATTGTATTGCCATATAAATATCAAACTCCGCTATTACTTAGGAGACATATAACATTATGTATAAACTACAGTATTGTGCTTTGCAGTTTTTTTTATTTTAATATATATATATATATTTTTGTGTGTGTGTGTGTTTTGCTGCTAGATTTTGAATTTGTGATTTTCAGGTTTTCCCTTTATTAGATTTTGTAATTTTATGAGCAAATGTTTTAAGTAACTAGACTCCCATGCTGTAGAAAGTAATATATATAAGATAAAAATGAATAATTTTAAAATAAGAAACAGTTCCAAAATTTTATCCAGTTGCATGCGTATGGCAGCAAGAAGTGGTGGTTGTTGTTGCTTTTCCTTCGGTTTCTGATGAAGTCAGACAAGGTCCAAAAGACCACTGACTCTAAGAAAGTCGAGCACAAGGAGGGGATTGGAGTAAATACCCTCCCTAGAGAGGCCCAAGCAGCCTAATATGTGCTCGGCAGATGCCTGATGTTCTTGGCACTTGGTGCATAGAAATTGTGGTAATAATGCAAAATAAAATTAATTAAAAAATGTATTTAAATTTATCCCATATTCAATTACCAAAAGCCAGGAAACAGAAGTTGAGTGGCAAAATTGCAAGAAATAGGGGGCAAAATTTGCCAAAACCAAAAATGAAAATTACAGTCAAAAGTCTTTAATCCAGACTCGTCGGGACTTCGGCGATTCCGGATTATTGATTTTTCTGGATTATACATCATCAGTTTAAATCTGGCAAGATGGCATGCAGACATTATAAAATTAAAAATATGAAACTGTAATTTATAAAATAATCAGCAATTATGATCTAAAGGGTATCAAAATTTACAAAAAAAGAAGCTTAATATTTATTTGTTTACTTTAGTAAACATATCTTTCAACGCGCGCATGCGTACCTTACGCATAGCCGAAATTAGAAAATTGCAACCAGAAAACTATTTGATTTGTATTCGTGATATTTATAATGACGAGGAATTTGATTTAACTCATATCAAAGACGGAGTACATCGAGATTAAATACTACATTTAATAAGGAATTATAAGCCGAATAAAATAAAAACATCTGCTCTGAAGATAACGATAGTGGTGACAGATTAACTTCCAGTTCATTGCGCACCGCGATGTCCCCCCCCCAAGCAGAGCAGCGTGAAATTGATAAACAGATTTCGGAACGGTTAGATAAACAAAGGATATACCTTTATCCATTTTTTTGTAGCAATTCGTTTTTTTGTTTGATGGACATCGAATCATACTTTCGTTTTTTAGATCCTTTGGGAGCTCCAGCATCGGAAATTCTATTTGACATAATCGAAAGTTCAAGCTTACTTTTATAAAATTGCTCTTACAGTCTGCAAAAAATAATAAGCCGGATCCAATTCGAAGATTAAGGAACAACGC